CGGAGAGAGCGATGTATTTCGAGCGATGTTAAAGTGGCGTAGTTTCGCTCGAATTAATGAATGCTTTATACTCGCCTGGTACACTAGTAACTGTCAGCGAGACCGCGTCAAAGGCGCGTCGTAAATTACCCGCCGAAAGAAAGATGTTTCCCGCCTTGTGATATTTTATCTCTGTCGCTCATGTAGCAACTTGTATATTGTTTTCTCGTTCTACAACCAATTAGTAATGTTTCAAAGAAACTGTTCGATTTAATATTTGTAGAGTAGTGTTTTATTGATGTTCGAGCTATCGCATCGGTAAGAGAAATTGTAATCTTTTTAATTATTGCGAGCTGTGATTGTAAAGTTTATATTGATTAACTGGTCGGACCACTAGTATAATGCCGAACAGTATTTCTTTTTCTTTTAATATTGTAGCACTATAAGAATGTAATCTAACTTATATAGTATAGTATATACGAGGCATAAAATGTTCTCCTCAAAATTTGCGATTTTCCATCGATTTATGCAGAGTGCGACTTGCGCACGCGCCTATAACTTACAGTATAGTGACGCGTTCATTTAGTGGACGCGCATGTTCGTCTCTCTTATTGTTTCGTTGTACTACCAGATAATGGGATCATTTGGAAGTTTCGTCTTAAACATTGTTTTTGCGAAGATATGTTCGAGTAGCAGAGATTTTCTAACTGTCCTTTGACTTCAGTTATTTATGAAAAAGCTTGTACTTACTGCAGTACTCAAATAAACTGTTCCAAATAAATCAAAAGTGCTCCAAGCAGTAAACATCAAAGCGGCCATCGTTTTCCCATAGTCAGTCAAAGCGCTTAAAATATATTTTTAATTAACCAAGAAGGGTGTGTGTCTGTTTATGTTTTTATGTTTTTAATTGTATTTTTTTAATGTTTTATTTAGTTAAATGCCCCACTAACGCATTGGATTAGTCTGTAATGTTAGTGTTAAGGATGATAAATAAATAAATAAATAAATAAATAAATAAATATATCACAAAAAGATCCTCTATACAAAAAGTGTTGATTGTGTGGTGTGCTGTGTGCCGTGTATCTGACATTGTGGTACCCTTTGATGTGGCGTCAGCGCTCGACTGTGACGGACGTTCGCGGAACGAACAAAAACTGCACACACGTGCTCCGCCTGCGCATGCGCAGCCCGCCGGGACAGGCCAGTCGCGGCCGCGTACCATGCAGAGCTGAATGAGGATAATCGCAAACGACTATTAAATCACTATGCAAATGTGATTTGGGGAAATTATAAAAAGAAAAAACAATATGAAAAGATTTTGTTACTGTTTATTTTATTGCTGTTTTCCTTTCACTCATAATTGTAAGAGCTGAGTAAATTTCACGCCAGTATTAATTTTGTAAGATGTCAAAGAGCAACCGCCTCATAAATTAGGGCAGAAAGTGGAACAATAGATCATAATCGGCGTCCACTGTGAGACAAGCTGACAAGTGTCCTCAAGATGTGTCGGTGCGCGTGCGCCGGCCGCCCTGCCTCGGCTAGAGACGAGCTGACAAGTGACCGTGCCTCTAATGTCAAGCGCTCATCTTGTCACTGTTTGTTATTGGTCAAAAAATATCCTGTTCGGTGATTTTGTCAAAAAGTCATTTAAACAAAAAAAAAAATCATTTATTCCAATTAGACCCTTACAGGCACTTTTGAAAGTCAAACAAAATTTTGAAGATATAGGTAGTGTCAGTCTGTCGGTCAGTCCTCTTAGTGAAGCTATTTGCTCGTTCCAAAGTGTAGATTCCGATGGAGAAGAACGAACAAGAAACTCCATGGTTACTCTTTTTAAATCAGTTTCACATACAGATTCCTTTTACAAACAATTGGTTCAATTATGTGAGAACACTACTTAATATTTATTAAAATATATTTTAGTAATTTCAAATGATAAATACCTTGTCTTGAGTAACATCGACTGACACGATGGTGCCTACCTTTTTTATTAATGAGAAAGAGTACCTAATGGAATGTGGTTAATAATTTACACACTAGTTTGAAACGTTATTCTAGTTTGTAGTATAATACTGATAGTTTGTTGCGTCGGTGTCATTGCCACGCTAGCGTCGGTCGCGGTCGCGACAACGCTCAGCAAGATTGTAACAATGACAAGTGCGGTGCATGTGGCGAGGCGGAACCGGCCCCGCCCCCGCTTTGATGTGCCGCCGCCATTGGCCGCCACACTGCAACATGTGACGATATGACCACGGCCTCCGTCACGGATCGAGGATCGCTCTACTGATGGAATTATGTGACCCCCATCTGGGACCTTTGGCTTTTTACTACCGCTCATTGTCTTTGATTTATTAATCAAATATTGATTCGGCTTCGCACGAGTGCAACACTGATACAATTTTTTTTTCACTATATAATGGATATTATCATATACGAGTATATATAATCTTTTCTCTGCAATCAATCTATTTATTAAAATACAACTTCAAAACCCATTACAAGTTTTAAAGATTTAGATTTAGATTTAGGGACAGAGAAAGCGACTTTTTTAGTAGTATACTATGTAGGTACTTAGTCACGATGCCGAGTGCAATTTGTTAGAAAATTAATTTGTTAGAAGATGCATTTTGTATGAAAGACCTTTTAATAAGTCTTCATAATTCAGTAGGAACAGGATATAAATCCTGATTTTAATATGCAACTGTCTCGTTTCGTGGCAGTGATGTGCCAAATGTTATGATTTGTTAGTTAGGTAGGTACGTTATATTTCATACAAAGAATTAAAAAAAATCACTTGATCATAAACGTGTGTGCAAACAAGAATTACGTAATAAATATAGCATATTTAATAATAAAGAGATATATATTTTTCAATAAATATGGGAAGGACAGCCATGCTTCGGCACGACTAGATCAGCTTGACCAGAGGAATACCACAGCCTCACAGAAACAATTACAGCGTTGTGTTTCCGGACGTAAAATCTTTCAATACTCGTAAGTACATATAATGTACATGGCGCCGATTTTTACCCATCAGGTAATCCGTCTGATCGTTTCAAAGAAACTAAACAACAATTGCCTCTGCCCTTTGATGTATAACTATGTATTTAAAATTTTATCCATATCTATACATGCGTAGGTACCACAATACATGCATATTGTTTGCAGTATCAATGACGTGTGCAATTAGTAAAACGCGAGTAGGTAGCTAATATTGCCAAATGCTTCGTCTTGTACATCGTCATCGTGATGTTATAATCAATATAAATGCAACAAATACAATTGTTAAATTTCATTGAAATCTTGAAAAACGTCGTGTAGATCTTGAACAGTTACGTTAGTAATCCGTAGAGTGCTTAGATGTAAAGCCTAAGGATAGAAAACAGTTTCCCTGCACTTTCGTATAAACTTAAGTAAGAACATATTCCTGCCACATAATTGTAATTGCGCCGCCTCTATAATAAGTACAGTCGTATAAATAAACTAGTGACACGGTACTTTGTCAGCGGTGGCTCGGAGTGGCGCAACAAGACAACGAGTGAAGCACATTAGTCAAGCATTTTGTTCACTACTCCGCTAATTTGTACTCCGACGAGCGAGGAGTGAGCGCTGTTTTATTTGTTCGATTGTACTTTGTCACCGGTGCGGGTTTAGTGAATAATGCGACGGTTTCGTCGTCATTTTTTGGTGTTTGGACGCAAACGCAACAACGTGTCGGTCGATGTCTTCAAATTGCTGAACACCTAAAGTACTTACTCGGATTTTATTCGAAATACTTGTATGCCAGTTGACTTAAATAAAATAGCTCACACTGTATACAGTTGCTGAGGTTGCTGAGTTGGTTGCTGAGGACTAACCAGAAACACACACAAACTTAACCCACAATGGACATCGAAAATGTCCTTCGTTTGACAGAAATGGAGAGTAAAGCCATTAAGCCAATCGTTTTGCTGTGCCCAATTTTACAAATGAATAAATAATTCAACAGCTCAGACAGACGACATAATAACATAATTTAAAAACTTGTAATTAATAGTCGCAGGTAGAGCCAATAACAAACAAGCTGCAATTAATAACCATTCCTCAACGTCACCGCCATAAATCACCGATATCACAGAGATCGCCACTCCGGTACATATAACCCTCTCACCGCCGCCGCCATGATAAATGTTTCCAAACGATTATGGAAACAGAGTGAGAATTATCTCGAGCAGTTTAGAGTTACAGTTATTTGTTGTCGAGTGTCGCGGTGTCTTGATGTCACCGCGGGATGACAGCTCGTCGCTCGTCTCATCCACCCTGACAGCCGTCACACTGACGTGTCTTGACGTTTATTGGACGGATGCAACAGGAGATGCGCGTGCGCATAACTGTCCAGATTTAAATAGTTTTAATATGTTTAAGTGTAATACGATACATTTGTATTTTCTATTAAAACAGAATAGTAGCTGGTTATTTTAAACGTATCTTATGTGTTAAAATTATTCAATAAGAGGAAGAAAAATTTTAAGTTTCTAGATATTTGGTCTATTATTATTATAAGCGTTCACAAATTAGCGACTCGCTATAATATCGAACCGGCTGAAAATATAACAAGCTACAGTTTTACGACATTATGCGACTGCGCAGGTGTCGAGTGTCGGCACAAAACGACGAGTGCTGGCGGTGGCGACATCAAAGTTGGTTTCGGGTAACAGTGGACCCGATAGCTTTGACTTAATTATGAACAGCTAGGCGGCGACGGCGGGAGGGTTATTCTTCTGAACCTAGGGCTTGTTGTTCTGAATAATTAGGATCTTTCGTTGTTACGTACAGTACAGTTGTAGTCTTTTTATTTTTATTCTTTTCTAAATAACACTAAAATACCTTCCTCTTAACAAAATGTACAGAGGCATTTATCTATATAAAAAAATTGCTAATCTAATTTGCAATAGATACCTAGATATAAGTTAGGTTCTATTACTTTTTCAACTGTTGAACGTTTTGTCACAATTTCTAACAACATAATTTCTTTCCACCAGACCCGAGTGCGGCGGGTATGGGAAACCCTGGCGTGGCAGGCACAGGCACCCAGCAGTATGGAGAGGTGAATCAGCTCGGAGGAGTGTTCGTCAATGGAAGACCATTACCCAATGCAGTGCGATTGAGGATTGTTGAACTAGCACAACTTGGAATCAGGTGAGGAACTGAGGAGTTATGATAACGGCTTATTAAGTACGAGCTATTCCCACGCGGTTTCACCCGCTTCTCTATCATAGCCTGATGTTTAATAGACTAAAGCTTTCCTCGGTAAATGGACTAACAAACAAAAAAAGTATTATTTAATTTGAATCAGCACGTCTGCAGATTAGCTCGTTCTAACAAACAAATCCACAAACTCCAGCTCTGTAATATGAGTTGTATGAGTACTCTGTAGTATGAGTTTGTGGATTTTAGATTACGTAGATATGTGTCTGATAAATAGATATTTGAGGTATGAGAAAACAGATTGTAAAGTTCCTCATCCTCCACTGAAAAAGGAGGGATCCTTCGACCAGACGAGTGTTGTGTCTGGTGGGCTACTGCCCGACGGTTGTTGTCGGGATTATGTACCACGGTGTAGAAACTTGAATGTGATTCGTGCTGTTGCTGCGTGTTGTGATTTCGCTGGTAGCATGGAATTGAGATGTTTATGATATATTTTCACAAGTTCCTAGTCTACTCCTGAAGTCCTGAAAATAAACTACCGTTTTGGAAATAGATAAATAGATTCTGTATTTACATTAGGTATGTACCATAGTAAAACACACATGTTACAAATATACATATATCATATACTTACAGAATGACAAAAAATCGTTCCGTTTATATATAGGTATATACACACACTTATTAATCAGCTATTGTTATCTATACTTACTACATTAACTTATTATACAATATACATAGTGTATTTGCTAATCAATCGATTATTACAAGTTGTTTTTTTATCTTTTATTTATATAAATATCTGATATTACTTGTTAACATCATATTATTCGTATCATGTCGTTTGCTGTAAGCAATCAGTCGTGGTGGCCCGGAGGTTAAGGCGCCCGCTTCTCATGCATGAGGATGTGGGTTCGAAACCTGGCAAGTACCAATGTGACTTTTTCCGAGTTATAAGTATGTACTTTCTATGATTATTTATACCACTGACATATGGTGAAGGTAAACATCGTGAGGAAATAAAGTCAAAAGTCAAAAAAAAACGCATTGAGAAAGCGTGGTGATTAATGCTCTGTCCTTCTCCGTATGAGAAGAGGCCTTTACTCAGCAGTGAGCACTTATAGGCTGATGATGCTGATGATGAAGCAATCAGCGCCGCCCATGGACATTCGTAGTGCGAAAAGACTTATCACAACTGCTTTGCCGGCCTCTTGTAGATTATTAGGCATTCAAGGATAGGGGAATTGAGAATTGAGGAAAGGGTAGGGAGAGGAATGAATTGGGCCTCGGATAACCTCACTCACACGGCTAAACACAACGTAAGTGTTGCTTCACGCCGGGTTTCTGTAAGGCCGTGGTATCAATCCGATCGAGCCGACCTATTCGTGTCGAAGCTTGGCTCTCCCACACTTGACTATAATATTACTATAATTGTGACGGTGGCAGTACGCAGAATATCCAATATACTGTACTCCTAGATTAATTATGTAATTATTGTACTCCAAGATTGAGGTACTAGAACAGTCTTACGACGCATTAACAACAATATCTAGTTAATTAATTTAAAAGAAGCGTTTTCACTACGCCATAAATTGTTGCTGTTGAGGTCTCTATGCTATACATATATCTACGTACTTATATAAATATACTAGGTAAGTAGGTATAGGTAGGCGTTACATAACGCTGTAGTAGCGACCTACAATCAGTCGACTATTACTTGTTATCAATAGTTCCATACCATAAAATAATACAATGTTTCTTTAACCTCCGATAATCTGGGAGTTAGATAACTCGCCTACATTTAATACTTATAAATAGCAGTAACTATTAGCTATTTAAATACTACCTATATACTTAATACGTTCGTTCGTGCCTTCTAGCAAATCTGATTGTGTTGATTAGAGTTGATTAAAGAATCGTCAACGATTTCGCAACGGGTTTACTGAATGTTTTAGCTTTACTTCTATTCCAACATTCCAATTCATCATCAGTAATCAGTCTTATCACTTCTTTGATACTTGAAATAAGCCGTTATTTCTTGAAGTACATTTTTCAAAAAGTGAAAACTATGATTTCATAGTCAGATTTTTAGACAATTTCATTAGGAAATACCAACTTAACTGAAGTCAATTAATGTAGCTGATTAAGAATCACAACAGTCATTCATCTATGGCACAAACGTAGTTGATATACTACAAATTTTAGCTTAATTATAATACATAAATTTATAACTCTTTTCTAACCGTGTGCATGTTTTGTGCAGGCCCTGCGACATCAGCCGGCAGCTGCGAGTGTCCCACGGCTGCGTGTCCAAGATCTTGGCGCGCTACCACGAGACCGGCTCCATCCTGCCTGGAGCTATCGGTGGCTCCAAACCCAGAGTCACCACGCCTAAGGTGAGTCAAATAAAACGAAAATTTTAAGATTAACATTCATAAATTAATGAAGTAGATAAATCCATTTTTGCACAATACTTCACTCGTGTCTTATCATCATCAGCCTGTTGTCGTCCACTGCTGGACATAGGCCTCCCCAATTGCACGCCACTGAGCTCGATGTTCATGTCTTATGATGAGTTGAAAAAAAACCAGTCCAAATCATGGCAGATTTAAAAATCGTAAAGTACAGCATGGAATACACGAATGCAGGATAGAAGTAAACAATTTTATACAACTCAATTCTTAGGCTATTTTAGTTTTTTTCAACACACAAACAAATTACAGTCATGTACCAATTGAGACAAAGAGATAACCGTGACATTTCCGTGGTCAGGTGGTGTCATACATAAAGCAACTGAAGGCGAAGGACCCTGGCATCTTCGCGTGGGAGATCAGGGACCGGCTGCTGGCGGACGGCGTGTGCGACAAGTACAACGTGCCGTCGGTGTCCAGCATCAGCCGCATCCTGCGCAACAAGCTCGGCGGCGGCGCGCTCTACCCCGTGCCGCCGCTCTACCCGGTGCCCCCGCAGCGCTGCTGGCCGCTGCACCAGCCCTACGACTACTACGTCTACCTACAGGTCAGTCTTCAACTACAATGCCTACTGTTTCCAGCTGAAATTCTGTAAAATTAATAGAAGAAAGCAATGAAAAAACAATTATTCACGCGTATTACACATAGACAACTAAAAATATGGTAAAACCTGAAAATAAATATCTGCAATAAGAAATAAAGAAAGTAGAAGAATACATAACGGGAAATATGCGTCACACCTACGTGAAACAGTCCCCGCTCAGCATAATGCTGGGACCCTATCAATATAAATCAAATGTCTAACATCACTCCATTTTGTTCACAGGGTCGTCAGCACACAGCAGGCAACCCTCATGCCCTGCCCCACCCCCATCAGCAGCCGCCCCCGCCCCACCATGCGCACGCGCATGCCCTCTGACACGCGCGCCTCGCCACCAATCACGACCGGTGATTAACATAGCCGGTGATCACGAGATCGCCACCAGTGAAGTGAAGTGATATAATTAGTGAACGTGGTACTATTTAGTGGTGGGAGTGACACTAGACACTATACAGGGTGCGCGGCACGACTGAGATTAGTAGGATAGGATGTACTTTATGTCTCTGTACGCTGACCGGTGTGGGCAGCATGATGAAAGGGTTATAAAGCCCGATCAATGTTAAAATCAATTTAATCTCTTGTCAAGTCATCTGATTGGTTGTTGATAATTCGGTCAACCAATCAGATGACTTGACAAGACATTAAATTGATTTTAACACCTTTTTAACCTTTCGGAAAACGGGGGTAAGACTACAAAATTAAATGAATCAGTAATATTACTCGAAATATAAATAAAAATAAAAGTGTTCTTTTAATGTGAATGGAAAGAAAATGTGATGTAATAAAATATATTTTTGTAATTTCAACTGAAAGACGACGCTAATACCCGACAACTGGTAATCTCAATAGCCTATCGTAGCATGGAATTGTGACTCGTTTTATATGGAGCTATGGGAAAAATTGCTAATTTCCTGATAGTTAAATTATTGAGATTTTTCATCAGGGTGTATTGAGGAGACTGTAGTCTAACCCTGGTTCAGAGTGCAGAGTGATATAAAAGTGACAAACTGATCTTGTAGTGATAAAAAATAGTTGTTGATAAAAAGTATTACCTATATTATTATTATTGTATATACGATACGTTATCACGTGTAAGATACATAGATTCTATTAAATATAATGTTAACACGACGATTCATATCACGGATCCGGTTAAAAGAGAAATTCATTTGGAATATAAAATTAAATGTGGTGACGCATAGATTAATTGGATCGTTGCATTGCATAAATTGTTATCAATAGCACGATTAATAAGATTGTGTTTTGTTAATGTACCAAGTGAATATCACATGAAAGTGCAGTATATTTTGTATTTTTATTAGTTAGTTAGCTCCTTTTGTCCGACGGCAACCGTCCGTCGCCGTCGGCCTGAATGATTCAGTAGCTTAAATATGAGACAACAACAATATTTCCAAGGACATGTTAAACTCAATTAGCTTATTTATTAATATAAAATTATAATCCCTTAAGATCAAGCCGTGATAAGAATCGTCGAGTAACTTGTAGATACTAATGTGTAAGTTATGATTTCATTAGTGACGCGGATGTCCTCGACTATTTATGTATGGGTGCAATGTTATGTAAATATTTCATACAAATACCACACGAGTACTTACCTTACGGAAACTACTAGGTACTGTTAGTTGTAATATTTAATTATCTACATATTTGTTGAAAAAATCTCTCAGCAGATTTCAGTCTATAATTCAATTTTATCATCATTTTCTGTATCTATTTCCAAATTGCGTTTTCTCTGTGTATGTGATATATAGGTGAATGATTTAAAAGTAAAAGGGAACTAAAAATTGTGATACACTAACCGGGAACTGTATCCCTAAGAATCCTCACAAATAACTTATGTTTTTGTACTAAATGTGAATGTTAATAAATCTCAATTAATTACAAATTATGTAATTTATATCGGAATTATTTCGATAACTATAGCTGTCAATAAACAATATAACTACTGCAGTATTGTTTGACGAATATTGAGATCTATATGAAAATGAGAAAATCTAATTGATTTAAGTACAATCAATGAATACAACACAGCAGGTGTCTGATAAACATAAGTCGGTATTTATAAAAATGTGTACAAACTAGATGTTATCGCCTAGATACTGGATATTATTTAAACATTTAGCGTTATTGGTCACAGTGTAGAAAATAAATTGGTTTGTTCATACATTATATTACTTTGTCTTATTTTACGTTGGAATACCATGTCTGTCAAGATTAGTACTGCTTCTGATGTAAGGTGTACGATAGCAGAATACTACATCAATATCAGCAGAGAATGTAATAAACGAACAACTAAAAAGAAATTGAAGTGGAATAGGTGCGCGGCTCGTAATGCAAGTCCATTGATGAGGTAGGCCGCGCTCAGCCCCGGCCGCGGCCTCACAATGCCTCCACAAATAAATCCTCTATTTTCAGTAGCGCACTCTGATTTAATTACGACTGTACAACGCGATATTTCATTAAAAATTCAGTGGCTAATTGAATGGCGCGCCGCACACGCTCGCGTCCCGAATCGACTTTACAACCGAAAACAATAAACGAACGGATATTGCTCGCGTACAATATTCGTACGGCGGCCACTGGACACGAATTACCAATTAAATCCCTGCTTTGTTTCGAATTTAATACTACCTAATCCGAAAATTTTACTGTATTAATAACAAAATTTTATGATCCCGCTCGAAAATGCGCGGCAGCAAAAAATATGGCGAGCGACGGTCGAGCTCGCTGTTAAAATGACATTTGACGCCGCTCGACGGCCGCGCAGGCGCACGCTCACAGGGCTACACTGCACCAAGAAACCTTCTCGTTCATTGTTATGTGAAGAATCCTTATTCTACTCAGATACTTAGTTCAACTAGATCAAAATTCTCTACAGCAGTTTTCAAACCGCGACAGCGACAGGTTCAGTCTAAATAATAAATCTTATTTTTAAGGTGAAATTAACTTCAAAATATTGTGTATGTGTGTTTCCAGGGCGGAAGAGTCTACTTACTTACTAAAACTCTTCCGTTCCTTCCCCTCCTCCGTATCAAAATAAAGTGAATGGCGTTTTGTTTACTCATCAAAGTAATGAATTGGTTTTCCCTAAATTAACAAAATTAAAGACAACAACTTAGAAGTGATAACACCAAGATAACATTCGTTAAGGAAAAATAAAACAATGTTAAAATAGATCTAACTCATAATATCTTCCCGGTATAATAACTATATATAAGTTATTTAAAAAAAATAGAATTTACATGAAGTGTGAACGAGCTGGTAGCACTCGTTCAGCAGAATTGTCAGATGTCAGGTAGATCGGCGGACGGTTTGAGATTATAATCAAGGAAACTCGAATAATTGTCAGGCCAACCGATGCTAAACGAATATAACAATACATTATAATAATTAAAACTAGGTCATGTGTTCAGTGACGTCAAAGTGTCAAAGAACTCAAATGAAAAAATATAATTTAAGTGTGGGAGAGCCATGCTTCGGCACGAATGGGTCGGCTCGGCCGGAGTGATACCACAGAAAACCGGCGTGAAACAACCACAACGTTGTGTTTGCCGTGTGAGTGAGGTTACCGGAGGCCCAATCCTTCCCCTACCCCAATCCCAAAATCCCCAAAATACCAATCCTTAAAAGGTCGGCAACGCACTCGTAACTCCTTCTTTGTTGCGGGTGTCAATGGGCGACGCCGATTGCTTACCATCAGGTAATCCGCCTGCTCGTTTGCCGCCCTATCACATAAAAAAAAATGTACAATAGTAGCTTGTACAAAGTGATTTAGGTCAAACAGCCTAACATCAATGATATAAAATTGCAGATGAATAAATCTGAAATACATAATTTGAAATACATGATAAGTAAAAAATAAGCTTAACTTGTCAACCCTACGTGTGCCGCAGGGCTGCGCGATGAGAGGGGCAGGACATAATTAAAAAGTGCAGCAAACGGCTAGCGGCGGCTTTGTGCTGCGCGCGCGCAGAATTTGTTTGTGCTTTATGTGTATAAGTATCAATAATAATATGGCCAGGGACTGTAGGTAGGTAGGTATTGATGTGATCTCGTTTCGCACAGTCAGTTTGTAATTTTTAAAAGTTTCCAATACACACTTTATTAACCTGTTTTATACTTATCTGCATGCCACTAGATTTTCATAAAGTATTGGATATGATTTCATAATCACTACTCGTACATAGTATAAAACAAAGTCGCTGGCTCTGTCCATATGGATATATGGACAGAGCCTATATGTGTAACAAGTGTAACAGCGACTTTGTATGCAATTTTATTTTAAACTACGCGACTTCTGTAATCCAAGATCTTCAGTAGCAACTACCATGAAAACACCGGAACATTAAAGTCCGGTGCTTCCCAGGGATATGAATAACTGTCTTGGATCCCGCAATGAAGTAAACCAGAAGATTTTTGAGAAGATATTTGAGAAGGAGACAAAATTTCCACTTCCCTCGGTAAATTGAAAAAGAGAGTGTTCAACTGGGAGAATCTCAGTCATCAAAAACTACGGAAAATTTACTATTGTAATGAACTATGTTATTTTTAAGTGGCAAACTAGCAGACTGATAACCTGATGGTAAGCAATCAGAGCAGCCCATGGACACCCGCAACAACAGAGGAGTTACGAGTGCATTGCCGACCTTTTGGGGATAGGGGATTTGGTTTCCTAAATCCCTAATCCCCAAATTTAGGGATTTGGGAGGGGAAGGATTGGGCCTCCCGCAACCTCACTCACACGGCGAAACACAACGCTGTAGTTCTTTCACGCCGGTTTTCTGTGAGGCCGTGGTATCACTCCGGTCGAGCCGACCCATTCGTGCCGAAGCATGGCTCTCCCACGCTTGTTTGAGTCTCTATACTTTTTTCCAGTAATAGATATATCAAAAACCCATGAAAATTTATTCTATATTTCATGTTGATTCATGACTGACAAAATACACTGTGTAGTTAAAAGACTACACAATATAAGTATAATAAAGAAGACTGCACGGTTGTCACGGTAGCTCTGGGCAACTGGCTGCCGCACAACGTGTCGCGGATTCGATTTCCGCACGGAAGAACTCTTTGTGTGATCTACAATTTGTTGTTTCGGGTCTGGGTGTAATGTGTGTATGTAATTGTACGTTTGTAAGTCATAGTGGGAGAAAGTCATAGTGGGAGGCGTTTTGAGCGTTTTTTACATATGCACAATGCTCAATGAAAGACCAGATAACTAATTAGCAATCAGCTATTCCAGACTAAACTTTTTAAAAATACGTTAATAATCATATGTAGATGTCATGATACAGTAATCTGTTTGTGAATCGAGGTGATTATGTCAGCGTTATCACAATTAATCATACGGGCTGATAAGGGGCCTACCCCAACGAGATAGTGCTGCTTGATGGACAGGTAATTGGAGAAAATCATACAAATGTTTATCCGAAAACATTTGTACTTACGTACAGTAACCTGGGGTCGCTGGACAAGGACAATAAAGTACCGCGGCCTTGGCGTGGAACAGGAGAAGGAACGAGAGGTTTTTAGTCAGTAAGAGTCTGACATTTCCTCTTTAAC